TAAACAGTTTATTTTGCGACACCACGAAACAAACGATAGCGTAAAATGAAACATAGACGTTTTTATATCGTCATCTGATATATATCATTATATCGAACAGCCCTACCATGGTGGTATACACATGCAAAATGTATGCAAATATATTGTTATTTATTTTCAAACAATGCTATGGACCTCTTTGTAGTCTAGGTTTACCCCATCTTTGATATATCCTGTACTGCTCTAGCCTGTTTCACCAGAGCAAAATACTGCAACTGTCACTGTAAAATTTAGCTTATTGGTATGTTTTGTTTTTCAGGACAATGTCAGTTATTAATAAGTCCTTTCAGAAAGTAAACATGAATGTATTTGTCCCAATTGAGTATTCAGCTTTATATGAAACTTGCTCTGTTTGACACACTAGTTTTCAAAGCAGTTAAGCCCTGTGGGGATTAAGGCCACCAGCCAAAAACATGTTCGTCAGATATGAAATTGTTCTGTAGAGTACAAGTGGTGCTGGAGCTCTAACTTCTTCAGATATTTGTTTTTGTGCATCTTGGAAGTAGGTGAAATTGTTTTGGAAACCTATACTCTGTTTCAGAATTCTGTTTTTTAAAAGCAGGCTTGACTGGTTTGAAAGTGCCAGCTAATGTTGGTGCTCTGTTGGACTTGTATGTTGTTAATTATTTAAAAAATTTCTGAAGGAACAATGGTCTGCTGTAATTTTTTTGTGGGTGATTTGAGCTGCTGTCAGGTAGGAGTCAACTGGATTTGCTTCACACAGTGAGAAGTCTCACCAAGTGAAAGCTACAGTTCACTTGTGTACTTAAAAGAAAAGCTGATGAAGGAAATATTTGTTTTCATTTTCATTGAAAATTAAGTGTTACAAAGAGTCTTCACCCAACTAACAACTCAACAACCAATCACAGAAAGGCTGGCTAGAGCCTAGCAAAGTTTTATTAATCAGGAGCAATGTGACAACATAATGTGAGCACTAAATGTGAAGTTTAAATTTAATGGGCATTCCTGTGTGACCAGAATCGTTAACTCGTTGCTTGTGTCCAGTAACACTTCAAGGAAGGGTTTTTTTGTACTCTGTACTGGCAAGAAAAAAGAAGAAAGGGAAAATTATTACCCTGCTGGCTTTAATACTTAATTTAGGTTAAATTCTTCACAAGTTTTGACATGTGTAGTGTAACAGATTATGAGTAAGTTCAGCACTTTGGGAGTAAAGTAATTACCGATGACTACTATTATCAATGTAATGTCACATGCTTTATGTCTTTATGTTATCAGTGCACATGTGTGCAGGTAATTTGCTGACAACAGAAGTATAAACTTAGTAGATGCAATAGATGCAGCACAAGACCCCACCTATATGTGCCATGTGCTTTCACACCTCCAAAACTTAATATAGTGATTTCAGGTATATTGTATGTGTTTCATGTTATTATAATAAGTGATTATGTTGATTACCATTTGGCAGCGGTTCATAATAAGAGTTATTCTCTTCATTATACAATGTAAGTTTGAAATAGGTCCATTCACACATCAAAATTTAAAAAAAAAAGGGAAAAAAAGACTTCCCAGGGTAGTGAAAGACAAAGCTAAAACTTTAAGCTTGACCTGCATGAGCTGTCACTCTGATGTTTTAATGGGTGGTAGGGTGGTATTCATCACTGCTAAAAGTCTGCAATTCTTTGTTTCTTTACTTAGCCGTTTAAAGGAGTAGGAGAAACAAAAGGCTAAAAAGGCACGTGGTTTGGCTTTTCACTGCTATTTTGAC